ACACACACACACACACACATATATATATATATATATATATATATATATAATTATATATAATTTTGAATTATAAATAAAAATAGAAAAAAGTTATTATAAAATAAATGTATAAGATGCATTTACATGCAATTTTTTTAGTATATAATATGGAATAAAACCAACCTAATTTTCTCTTGGAAGGAAAGGGCGTGTTTTTATAGGTCCGTCTCAATTTGACAGTCGGAAATTGGAACATTAGTAATAGGAGTGAAATGAGATACAATTCGCTATACATAAAAAATTATCGATATATAAAAAGAGCTATGTAATAGTGACCTCTTTTTTAGTTGTATTATGTGATTGATCGAACTTATGTTCAATAGAAATTATATTTTTTACTATTTTTAAAAATGATCAATACATTAAATTACAAATAAATGAAAGAGCACAATGCTTAAAATATAAAATATAATATAAATTTTAAATATTTTATACTATTAATATAATAATAAAAATAATAATAAATATTAATTATAATAATAAAAATTGTATAATTTTAATTAATATTTTTTATATTATATTTTATTATAAATAATTTATTATTTATCTTTTTTATCAATCAAATAAAAAATATTTTAATAATTAAATAAACTTAATATTAAAGAAACTTTTTTATTTTAAAGGTTTTGTCCTTCAGTTTTCTTATATCTAAGCAGTGTTGTTCCTGCAATATGGCTTTTAGAACTAGATAAGGTTGAGAGAAGATTAAAAACATTCGAAACGAATGTGAATAAATCCGAGAACTTGGATTTAACGAATCTGGCTGCTAAAGATTTAAAACATTTAGAAAAAGCATTAGGAGTAAGTTCAATTTATATTTCGTTTTACAATCAAAATACAAATTCGGACAATAATATTATAGAAAAAAGAATTAAAAATATTTTAATACGTTATTTAGGTGAACATACATTTACCTAATATAAAAATATCAAAAGAAACTTGGGTAACTCTAATTGAACAATTTCTAATGTTAATTTTAATCATTGGAAGATGGATGTTACCAAAAGGAGATTTAACCAGGGATCAACTGAGTCAATTATTGTTAGTATATATTGGAACAGCGGCAGACATAATTGAATTTTTTGATTCCTTTAAGGAAGATCGCATAGCTCGTGAACCTGTCCTAGTTTATTTAACTTTGGGGATTTGGGCGTGGTCATTGATGCAATTCACGGTCGTTTTAACGGCTACTAAGTCTCGGAAGTCTAGATTGTCATCCGGAAATGCTGTCAAAAGAAGAATACACACTGAAACTAGTTGTTGTAGCATAGATGTTTGGGGAATTACTTTAAACATGATTTTACAGGTCTGTTTACTTATATAAATTTTCTAAATCATTAAACAAAAAAAATTATATGGTAAAATTAGAATTTTAATAATTTTGTTTTTCATTTCATTTTAATTAAACTTTAATTTAAAAATTTAGTTTTAACTAAATTATTAAATATATTAAATATCTTATTTTATTTGTAAATTTGATGAAAATAAATCTCATGAAAATCATAGTAATGAATGATACATTATGCAATTTAAAATTAATTATATCATATATTGATTATATTTATTTAAAAGATTATATTTTTTAAAAAATATTACAGGATGGACCATTTCTTGCATTTAGATTGATTTTAATTATCCATTATCGCATAGTCAGTTATATGAATATTTTCTTCACATGCAAGAACACTCTAGTGATTCTCTTACAACTTTATCGACTGTATGTAGTTCAAACAGAAAATAGGAGCAAAAGAAAGAAGAAATCTGAAATATCGAATATCAGTATTATATCGAGGGAAGATATTCATAAAGATGTAAAATACAAAATTTCCGAAGAAAAGCGAAGAAAAAAAAGAAAAGACAAAGATATAGAAGCTAATTACACAGAAAGTGAAGAAACAATAGAAGAAACAGATAAATTTGATTCCTCTCCGAGAAATATTAAATCTTCAAAAAAGTACAAAATATTAATTTTTTCTATAAAAATTCAATAATTAAAAATAATTTTATTTATTATTTAAATCTTAAAATTTTATAGAAAAACACGCCAAGATACTGGATATTCTACTTCTAGTTCAAGAAATTCTGGAAAACATGAGAAATCTCAAAGAAATAAGAAAAAAATGTCACATGGAGAAAGTTCTAAAATTGAAATTTTCAGTGATGATGAGAAACAAAAAAGAAAAATTAACAGAAATTTATCGATAAAAGGGAATAAAAAGTATACGGAAAGTATTAAAATGAAATCTAGAAACGATGATTCTAGTAAAAGTTCCAGCAAGAGTCGAAAATGCAAAGAAGATAGTGAAGAAGAATTAACGACGGAAGAAATAACTGATAGAACAGTTAGTGAAGAAAGCGAATCAGAATCAGAAAGAAAAAGGTGAATAAATTAATAAATTATCAAATATACATAGTAAATAAATTAAATAAACTTTTTATCTTACATCTTTTGATTATTTTAGAATTTAATAAAACATAAAAAATTAATTATTAAACAAAAGACATTACGTATACAACATTATGTATATAACTTATTATAGTTAAGAATCATTATAATAATGAATGATTTATTAATTAACAAATTGAACAAATTTGTCTATTAAATAGAAACTCCTATAAAAAATATTTTTTTTCCACTTACATACTTTTATATGTATTTCTTTCCATATGGAATCTTTTGTAAAGAAATTTCTTAGCTAAGTTAAATATCAAATATAAATAATTTTAATAAGATGATTATAGAAACTTTTTGTTTTTTGTAGGTACATTTATAGAAAACGAAGACAAAACAGAGACTGACAACGATACCTCGGTATAGTCACTCTCTTGTTTGTCTATTTTGCGATCCTCGTTATTTGCATGCTTTTTATACACGCTGGGATCAACAATGGCGTTATATTAATAACAAGACTAAAGAAAACCATCTATACTAATTAATTTCTTTGCACTTTAATTATTTTATACAACAAAAATTAAAAAATTGAATTCTTTTTATAAATATAATTAATTATTAATAGAATTTAATTTATTAAGATAGATGCCAATATAAAATACTAAATATATTTTAAAGTCAAAATTGAAGTGCAAAGAATTAAGAACAATAAAAAATTATACTATTTGAAAACTCAGCACTAGAGTAGTTTAACTTAAAATTGTAGTTTAAGTATGAGTTAGAAATTAAGATTATTTTAATGTAATTCCATTTTATATAATTAACCATTAATTAAACTTACTTTATATATAATGTAATATCTAAACTGTGTAAATGAGAATGATTGAGAAATATTTCTACTATCTTAAGTTTTGCTTGATTAATAAAAGAATGAAAATATTTCTTCTCAAATTCATTCTCATCATATCCTAATTAAAATATTTTTTTTAACAATTACAAAAAAAAATAAAATTAATTAATCTTTCGAAAAATAATTGCAAGATTCATTATCATAAAATTAAAAAAAATTAATCTTGCAACTAATTGTTCTATATAACATAATAATTCATGCAATTAAATCATTACAAGTTTCCAACCATTGTATACTCTGTGCAGCATCTAAGTTATCAATATAATTAGCCAAATCATCTTGATGAGTTCCAGTGGCGGCGCAATATAACATGGCCGTATCTTCTAATAATTCTTGTAAAGATTGAGTTTTCATTGTTGTTGTATCTACGCTAGTGTTAACTGTCGAAGTATTTTCTTTCTTTTCGGAATTCATTATAGATGGTTGATTTATCTGAACCATATCTAATTGTTTTGGAATTTCAATTTTTTTATCAGACGAAATTTCTCCGGTTGTTTGGTCCATTTTAAATAATGATTGTCCGTTCAGAACTCCCAAAGAGTGTTTTTTCTCATTAGAATTACTTTTTAGATCTTTTAATTTCTCCACAGTTAAGTGAAATCGCCGCCATTTTCCCTGAGGAAAGCTTATATTTACATTTTTATCCATAATACTTTCTTGGACATCTTGTTTCATGTTTCCTTCTTTATTACTGAGTTCTTTAATCTTAATATTTTTCATATTATTACAGAAAGTTTGATTTTCTATGGCTGGCTTTTTTAGATTACTTTTATTATATTCTGAAAGAATTTTCGCTATTTCTGAGGTCTCACCGGCACACCAAGTTTTACTTATACCACCAGACATCGTCTTAACGTTCACCTCTCTGCATGTTGTCTCGTAACATAATTTTTTTTCGATCGAAGATGATTCTTTTCCCACTTGAACTTTATTCTGTTGCATATTATTCAAAAGATATTTTGTTACTGTAAATTCTACTTTATTCCCTCGTTTTACAGGCGTTTGTTTTGCATTCAACTCTTCATTAGATACATTCTTATATATAGATGTTACTTCACCTAAAGTTTCTTCACTGGCAGGAAATTCATCTGCTTTATTCACATTTATATTGCTTGTAAATGGTTTCAAAAGTGGTGTTTCTTTCGAATCAGGAGGATTTACTAGAATAAAAGGACTTTTAGAAGATCGTATTACTTCCTGGATCTTCATATGTCCTCCTTGAAGTGTTTTTAGATTGGTAAAAGCAATTGATTTCGACGAATTAGCTATGTAAACCTTCTGAGTTGGAAACAAACGCGTTTTTGGAATCTGAGCGAAGCTCTTAACATTTTGTGGGAACATAGTAATTCCGCAATTATCAAGGAACTTATTTTCTTCAACTGATTTCTGTAAATTTTCCTTAAAACTAACAGAGGATTCATGTTTAGAATTCCGATCAACGATATTCGATTTAGACGGCTCTTTATCGATTTCTTTAGAAATATTAGATAAATTTTTACTATCGTTTAACATATTTATCTTTCCTTCTACATTCATTTTATAAGTTGGTGTCATTACTTGCGAACAATAACCTAGAACGCAGTGAAAACTTTCATGCATGCAACTTTCAAAAGATTTATTCTTTTCGGATGATTCCATAGAAGGTTTTTTTGTATTCTTAGAATTCGGACAACTTTTATTAGATTTCGTTTTTTTGTCTCTTTTTTTTTCCGTAGATGAAGAAAGATAATCGCAATGAGGATCTACGGATACCACTTCTATTTCCGGTCGATCGATTATTTCTCGATAAGAGAGACCATCTAAACTCGTAAAGTAACGTCCTAAATATTCTGCAGCTAGACCAATCTGAAATATATAAATTTAATTGATATTTATGTAAAAATAAAAATTACAAATAAATCTTATATTTAATATTTTTTTTTTATTTAAATTAGATTACCTGTGGATGAAATACTGGTCGTTCATGCATACCATGAACTGGCCATTCTTTCCATTCTGTTTCATCTTTTAAAGTAGGTGCTTGATAAGTTGCTCCCACATTATACATTTTACGAGTAACAGATCTTGTGTTCATATAGGGCATCGTAGAAGATTTTCCACGTTTAGTAGGTTCAGAATTGAAGAGCATTTCCTTCCGTTTTGCAGAAAGCAATCGTTGTCTTGGCCGAGAAAAATTTTTATCTGGTTCTTTTTTTGTAACACGTATAGGATTTCTTCTAACTTCCGTGGTTCCACGACTGTAATTAATTTTTTAAAAAATAATAGAAAAATTAAGGATTAAAATATCTTATATATTAAAATCTTAAATATTCTAATATTAAAAATATTACAACTCGAAAATTTATTTAAAAAATTTGAATAATTTGAATCAAAATCTTAAAAAATAAATATTTTTTTCTGTTAATTAATATTTCAAAAAATTTTGAGTAATTAATTACCTATATATGATATATATGATAAAAATATTTTTAATGTACAAATTCTTATATATTATACATAAATTTTATATATTATGAAAGATAAATTTAAACTATTCATTATAAGACCATAAAAAATCTATAAAACAAATGACATTATTATCGTATTCCATTTTCTATCCGCTAAATATTAAATAGAATTTTGTAAATAAAAATAAAATCCTTAATTTGATTACATTAAAGACCTACTTTTTTCTCGTAGATCGATAAATCCTCTTAACTTTCGTTACTCCATTACTTGAAGTCGATCCGCCACTACTGATTTCCGTTGAATCCCGCACGTAATCACTATCATCCTTATATCTCTTTTCTTGTTTAATAACTATTGTTCCTGGAGGCAGCTTTTGCAAAATTTCTATGCCCTCATAGTAATTCTGTGCTACATTACCTAGCTCGGTCGATAATGATCCCAGATCAAGTTGCTTCCGAAGTGCCATTTTGGATCGTTCGTCACTCAACTCGAACACTCGTTCATCCTCTTGTTTCTCATCCAGTTCTTCATCTTGCTGCTGTCGTGAAGTTCGATCGTTTTCTTTTCCTATCACAGCTATCACGCTCACGTCATCGTCATCCTTGTCATTGTTAAAATTTTTTTGTTTTGATCCCATTTTCTTTGAATCTTCCATTCCGTTTCTTAAAAAAAAAACTTATCCGAATATTTGTAAGAACACATAATTTCTTTATATAATTTGTCGAACAATATTTTCAATAATTTTGATAATATATAAATATTGAAATCAAAATATATATATGTAAAACATATTTTTCAAAAAGAAAATCAATCATCGGGGGTTATGTCGAAATATATAAGATTTTCTTCTAATAAATGTACTATTATATTGAATAATAGTCTTGAGATTTCTTGGAAACACTTGTCAATTAAACGAATTTCTTCTTATTTAGAATGTGGTTAAAGAAAATCTAACCAATAAACTTGCTCAGGACACGTGTCACATGCTTTTGTTTTCAATAATGGGAACAATAGTGTCATCTGGTAATCAGATCTTGTGTTCAGTAATACTGTGAAATAGGATATTATTTTGGAATTAGATTAGTTGATCGAGAGTGCGCTGTGAACCTTGTTTATATATATCTATTGAAAAATTAATTTTTGATATTAATTAAAGATTATAAAAAATACATATAAACATAATATCAATATATATTTTAATAATCATTTCATAAAATATATTTATTATAGAATTATACATAATTATTTAGAAGTTATAAAAAAAAATGAAAATATTAAATAAAGATTATTTGATTTTATCAACTTACAATTATAGAATATTCTAAATATAAATTATTAAAATAAAATATATTTAGATTACTAAACTTTCAATATATATGTAATAATATTTACAATGATAATGTAAGAATTAAAACAAAAAAAAACTATGATTTATTTTGAAATTTAATTGAATTAAAATTTATATATAATTCTAAAATAAAATACTAAAAAATACTAGGAAATTTAATAAGAAATGAAAACACAAAATTATAGCTTCTTATAAGCGCTTATTTTATTCCAAATAAAATACTAAAACTAGAATAGCTATTCCCATTTTACATGTACACGCGTGTACGTTTATTATATAATTATTTATATATAGAATACGAAATATAATATCATTGTTCATATTGCACGTCCAGACTAGAACTGAAATGTATACATATGTATTTATGTATAACATTTTTTGGCACTCTATTCAACTGGGATTTATTTACAAAGAAAAGGGAAGAAAAAATTTTTTGTATATTTTAATTCATATTGTCTGTTGTTAGAGCGAGTGTAGTTAAGACTGATCGTCGATTCGGATTTACGCCTAGATTTTCCCAATTTATCCATGATAAACGTGCTGTCAAATCTATAATAAAAAAATATTTAATTATAGAGTTATAAATAATAAATAATTGTTATCATTATTTCATTTCAAATAAATTATAGCTTTTCAAATATTTTCATATTTATATAATAGTAAATTTATATATAATAGTATATAATAGTATATATATATATATATATATATATATATATATATATAAATTTTAATTTAACTAAATATAGAATAAATAAAAAATTGCAAAATAAATTCTCACCGCTAGTATTCCATTCGGCACGTTCCCCATTTATTTCTCCTCTAAGGCACCTTTCAACGTAAGTTAATGGATCAAGTCTAGCAGCTAACACTTCTCGAAGTAGTGCAATATATGCTATAGCCAGACGCAAAGTATCAATTTTGGACAGCCTCTTTTCGTATGGAAACGTTGGTACATGTACTCGAAGCTCGTCGAAAGCCGAGTTGATGCTGCTAAAAATCGCAATCACACTGACAATCTGTTTCACATCATTCTCTGATTTTTGTTTTGTATAATTTTCAAGACATTTGATATAATTTTTCGATTGAAAAAAAAAATTTAATAAGTGAATTTAATATAACTTACTTTTGAGACATAACTTTTTAAATAAATTTTATATTACAAAAAAATATCGATAACTTTTAAATTTATAGTTATTATTTATATGAAAAATAATATTAGTTCATTTATAGTTATTTATCTTATTGTTATTATTAATATTTGTAATTAATAATTTATGATTATCAGTTTTTAAAATTAGAAAGTTAAAGTTTTAAAATTATAAAATTAGAAATTTCATTGAGAATAATTTCTCACCTCAGCATACGTTTTCTCTCACGTATGTTGGCGGCATGTCGTTGAATTCTGTAGGGACTACCATTTGGATAGTATCCTTCTTCTACACCATTTATCTCTGTATCGTTATGATCTAAAACAAAAATAACGTAACAAATTAGATTTAATACTAAAATTTATGTATAAATATTATATTTTATTTTTTATTATCAATTTCATCCTAATTATTATATATTTAAAGCATTGAAGAATATAATACTTAAATATATATACTTAAATATTGAATTTAAGTTTTTAATTCAAATTATTAATCGAATTACCAGGTGTAGAAACTGGCATATGATAATGAAGAGGAGAATGAGTATGTGAGGAGGTGTGTGCAACGTGTTGAGTAGATCTACCCGCATAAACGCAAGAAGGCAGCTCTGCCAGATCTTCCTCGCTAATATCACTGCTTGGGCCCACATAATATTGATTACTATAATTTTATTAAAAAATCTTTTATTTTTATTTATATAATTATTTATTAATCAAAATATAAATATGCATATAATATGTTTCTTTAAAATTATTAATTTTTGTTATATAATAAATAACAAATTATTTATTATAAGTTACTATATTTATAATAATAAATAAATAATAATATAAAATATTAAGCACTCTTAAAATATTATGAACTATTAATTTATATATAAACATATAGAATTTTAATTAAAATAAATTAACAAAAATTTAAATAGATAGACTAATTAATTTCTTTTAAAAGAATTAAATACTAATAAAAATTAAGTAAATAAATAAAATTTATTTTGATTCTTTATAAAAAAATAGATAACATATAAAATTTCACAAAAGTTTCACCTAGTGCAGGCTACAGTGGAATCAGCCGCTCTGGAAGTAGTACCAACACGATGTCGCATCCTCTGTCCTCTATCTTCGTACTCGTAACTCGAATGATTCGCCATAGATATTCTTTCTTCTTACCAGCTCATTAATAACTTCAATTGCAATCCTCAAATTAACACGTTTACTATATATAATGCCATTCTCATACTTTTAGAATAATAATTTATATTATCAATTTGAGTATGAAATAAAAACTAAAAAAATTACGAAAATTGTGAAATAAAATTTAATAATGATAAAAATTAAATAAATTTTAATCTTTTTTAATATTTCTATATGTTATCTATATTTTTTCGATATAATTTTGAAGAAAAATATACATTTAATAGATTTAATAGTAAAAATATATTCATTTAATAGTACTACTAAAAGATCAAAAATTTTTAATATAAATTTACAAATGATATTTAAAAATTGAAGTTCAATATTTATAGGTTACATACAATCTTAAATGCAATTCAATTAAAATTTCTAATTATTTAATCTATCTATCTTTTATTAATCTTTATCATTTTTCAATCAACATTCTATTTTTTATCATTATCCAACTCGATACTCTATTTCATTCAATTATTTCTACTTTTAAGATACATTCTTTTATATTAAAATTTAATTGATAAAAATTTATAACATATAAATTTAAAATGTTAATATTATTAAACCAATCAATTTAATTGATTTCAAATTTTTTATTTTTGCAATTAGAATTATTCAAATGCTATGGCATTTAATGCAAATTAATATTGATTTGTATTTTGTTACATGAATACTTTTTTTATAATCTCATAATATCTGTTTCACTAACTATAATATATCAAACCTGCAACTTATCAAAATACCTGTCTAACTTCTTTTCAATAATCTCTTCCCAAAAAAATTCACTATTAAAAACAAATGTCTATCTTTTAATTGTAATCTCAATTCACTACTAAAAGATAAATGTCTACCTCTCAATTATAATTTTTCCTTTTAATTAATTATGATAAGATTAACTTCCAGTTTCCCAAGGATCACTTCACAACGATTGGATGAAGGGAACCAAGGATACACGAGAGCAGCAAAGGAATCAGACTATCCTCAGTGTCCCTGGGGAGGCTGCTTTATATATCGGAGGTTGGTGAAACGGTAAGGGGATGATCGATGCAACCCCTGGGCGGAGAATCTAGCCAATCCTGAACGTTCCAGAGTGAAACCTATCCTCGACCCATCCAGCCATTGGTGGATCGTTCAACAAGCAAAGTGCAGACCTCCAGTTCTGCGGATTATTGTTACTGCCCGGTCTGAAATTTTATTTCTATCGTTTTCCATTCTCCTACCATTTGGTACTCTCGGTAAAATTGTTCAACGGCACCCCTCCTCTTTTCACAATTTTGTGGAAATTCGACCAACCAGGAGACATCGGAGGAACTCTTCTTATAATCTGAAAAATTTCGATGAGAAATTATTTTTGAATAGGAAAGTTTTTATTATATACATAAATAAAATAAATTAATGATCGTAAATATACGATAATTCTTTTTAAATTCTTTTTGTTTATAAAAGTTTTATAGTTTTATAAATGAAATACTTTGAGAAAAATTTTTTTAAGAAAGTTGATTTTTTTTATTTAATAAAAAATGTATTTTTGACATTTAATTCTCGTCTTTTATTGAAAAGAAAAAGTGATAAAGTTTAAGAAAGTTATTTTATCTAAAAAAATGTTCATAATTATTCAAAAGTTTTTTAAAATTTTGTCTAAAAATAAGGAACATGCTAAAAAAACTTTATATGATAATGACTACTATTATCATATTATTATATGATATTACTACTATATAATAATGAATATTATATGAAATTAAAATCTTAAATATCAATAAACTATCATAAATAGAAATAGAAATTATTCCTGTTTTTTACTCAATTTTTTGATGTATTTGATTGAATTTTTTAATATTTTTTAATAATTTATTTAAAATTAATTTTTTTAAAAAGTTAAAAATTGATACTGTTGGAAATTTTGAAATATTAAAAATATAAAAATAATTATTTTTTTAATTATTGATATATTTAATTCTTTAAAAATTATATAATGTAAAAGATATAATTAATAAAATAACTATAAAACAATAATTCAATAAATTTAATTATTATATGATATTATTATATTATTTATGTTAATTAAAAATATATATGTAAGTATTATTATTTTTTTTAATACTTATTTATTTATTACATCATTGTAAATCATAATTATACTTTCCCAAATTATTGTTTTTATTTGGTTAAAATAAATTTTATTATATCCTACAAAAAAATATAATTACTGGATTATTATTCACAAAACTATTATATTATTATATTCATGTTATTTATATTAAATGAAGCATAATCAAGGAAAACTGACAGCCTGAGAAAGAATATACAGCATATTGTAGAAAGCAACAAATACATAGCTTCCCCTTTATCAGCGATCGAGCATCCCAGAATGAGAAAGAGAGGTTATGCGATAGACAGAGTGCTGAATGGGCCAATATTCAAATGAGACGTGTTTAACGGACGCACAATGAGAAACGCGGCGGCGTTGGTGGTGATGCAATTATGCAAGGTGTTAATACGATCACAATACTGGTTTGCTAGGGTTCTATTTAGCTAACTGGCAAAGTTTTGTCGACATCTAGGTTGAAAAACGTGTAACTGCTCGCTAACAGTCTCAAAGTGAATTACTATTGTCAATCGTCAATATATCTATTATACCAGATCTGCCAACATAATTAGGATTAGCCGTAGAATGCATGAGAACGAACATTTCGAATGGAAGAATTAAAAATTCTTTTCATATTTCGATATTATCTAATGATTGAAATTTAACTCGATAGTTAAATTTTAATAATAGTAGTTAATGGATTATATTATATAATATTAGTGAAGAAATTTGATTTTCATAAAGTTGTAAATTTTTATTTTATAATTATAAATTTTTAAATATAGTATTTTTTATATTTAACTTCTTAATTATAGAAAATTTAAGAAATTAATTCGTTAATAAGTAATGAGAAAAATAAAAAAAATTATTGAAAAAATAAAAAATAAAAGTATAAAAATTATTAAAAATAGTCATCGTAATATTAAGGTTAAGTTATTAATTAAAATATTAGAACAGAAAAAAATTCTAAAGCAGGAAGTATTGTAATATGTTATTTTATCCAAGATTGATATTGATAAAATCTTTAAATATCATTTCTGAGCAGAGAATACACACCAGATGCGATTCAAGTGTTAGTTTTACGAGTATCAATTCGCAAATGTTCAGGAGCGTGCCGTTTCGAGTATCACCATGACAAATTTCAAGAGAGTATTGTGTCGCCACAAACGATTATTTATCTCAATTTGTCTCACAGGCGGGGAAAGAAAAACTTTAATCGAAATCGAGCTCTTCAATATTTTTATTTCTTTCAATTTTATTTTAACCCATCTACAAATTATAAGAATCGATCTTTTAACTAAATAAAGTTCTAATAAATTATTATTTATTATCTACATTATTATCATTATCTAACTTTTAATTTTTAAAGTTTAAAAAATTGACATTATTACACTAACTTTTTTTTTTATAATTAGTTTCTGAATTTATATCATTAGAATCCTTATTATTTTTTAATACAATGAAATACTTTTATATCATTATATTTCATCTTCTTTATTTCTAATATATCTTTTTAAATAATTAAATTATCCAATTAACCTATAAGTTATGTACATACATGTATGTAACTACATATAAATATGCAAGTAAGTACATACGTATATTTCTTCTCTTTTTTTTTTTCCAGATACAAAAAATACCAAACAACCACAGATATCCAAACATTTAATTAGTGATTACATTATTTCTAAGGATCGAAAGATCTCTGTCAGCACCAGTTCGAGCAGGATACATATACATATACAACTACTGGAACAACGGGATACCATACCAACCCTTCGATAATAGAGATTTCACACCGCGGGCCCTATTTCGATTCTCACAGTAGGGGTCTCATACTCTATCGAATATTTATTGTCCAATCAATGTATACGTTAATTTAATAAACGTATGGTCAATTTATTTTCCGACAGAAGTGGAGAGTGAAACGCGTGCCTCTAAGTATCTGTTTATAGTCCCTGGGGATCAATTTGTTTGCCAAATTATTTATTGGTCAAATATGCTTAGGTGGAAGCTGTTTTCAGTGATAGTAGCACCATTTAAACCACGAATATATTTGAATTGCGGTTTGGGAAAGGTAAACTCGAGATTTTTCATGGTTCTCTCTTATTCTTAAAGATCTTTGTTTAAATGAATTCTTTTCTAATAATTTTCAATGCATCTAGAATGAATGTAAATTTACTATTAATAATTCAAATTTATTATTACAAGATTTATAATAAATAAAATTTTAATATTTAATTATTGATTAATTTATATCTTTATTTTTCATATATTTAAATATTTAATAAAATTTTAATTATTATATTTTGATAATGAAATTCAAAAACAAATTTGTATCTATTAGAAACATATTTTAACTTTTATATCTATTCAAAGTAAAAGTATATTCTGATGGTTCAAGATATCTTTAAAATAAAATAGAATAAAACTTTTCATGAAAAGTTTCAATATTCTTATTTAATGAAATCTGTTAAACATGACTTGACAAATATAAAAATGAAGTTTAGTTTATATTTAATATTAATTATTCATGCTGATTTTCATATAAAGAAGCAAAAGAATATTAATATTAAAAAAATTGAACTTTTTTTCCAACTTTTTTTTTAATTCTATAATTTTTTAGAATATTTCTATAATTTTTTTATATTCTTTTGTGTATTTTATTATAATTTTTTAAAATTAATTCCATATAAAATAGAAAATTATGATTTTTATTACAAAAAAAATATCAATTATTTTCATAACGTAACTGATTTGCACACATTTTTTAAATCAATTTTCAAGATATACTTAGTAGTTTTTCTTTTGAAGATTATCATTAAAATCTTTTGAAACGGTGACAAGTCGCCGAACCAGCCTAGAATGAAATATGCGGAGCAATGCAATTGACGTCCACTGCCACAAACTGTGTGCAACGACGCGACACTGAATTGCGGCCTATCGACGGTCTGACGTTGAAAAGAGAGCCTATCGATGGAAAGAGAAAAGAAGTTTTGAACAAAGAGAACTCAGAAATATACGAGGGACAATTGCGAAGAGAAAGAAGAAAAATGACTGGAAAAAATAAAAGAAGATATTAGGAAAATATGATAAAAAAAAGAATAATAGAAAAAATATTAACAAAAAGAAATAATATTATAATAATAATAAAAGAAGAAAACTTGTACATTATCCATGGATCTATTATACTATGTATTAATCTATTATGTTATGTCTGTAATTAAATTATAATCTAAATAGTATCTAAGAATACAAAATTTTAATTTATAATTTTAATTTCACATATCATTTAATATCAACAAAATTTTCTAACCTCTTTGATGACTATCTTACAATGTTTCAGGTGTTCACCAACTTATCCAAACTAAAGAGATTCAAATCTGTTTTTATTCTAACAAATTAATCTAATGAGGAGCGGAAATACAAGAAAAAGAAAATAAAAAAAAAACAAAAAATACAGCAAAGTGAGAATACCTATTTCCTTGTCTTCCTTGTTGGCTGCCACTTTCTAGTGCCCCGAAGTCGTCCCATTGGCAGTCACGTGCTGCAGCGTGCCGACCTTTTGTCACGGGCTCGGTCTCTACTTTGTCCCAAACGGAGGGAGGATCGTAGAGATTCAACGTGTTAAGACACGTGTACCAAATAGGCTTGGTGACCCAAAGCCTGTTTGCTCCGACCAAGAACCACCGTAGAGACGGTCTAAAGTACAATGAAGCGTGCGGTTCTTTAACTGTCCTCCATTGGAAAGATCAAAAATACGAGAAAAATTAAATGGTTAATATATTTCTATTTTTCATCTTTTCCTCTTATTGAATTTTGATAAAAATTTGTATATTTTAATTATGTAATCTGTTATAGATAGATAATTTATATTTCTGTTGTAACTATTAATTTCACTTTTTATTCACAATCTAAGTTTAATTTAGATATTTTTAATTGCAAAAATTTGAATCAAATTATTTAATTTTAAAATATTTCTAATTTTTTTGTTTACCAACCAAATTCAAATCTAATCTAAATAATGATTAATTATTTAATTATCTACACTATTTAAGAATTAAATCAATCTTAATTTACAATCTTTTTAGTTCTCAATATTGAATATTATTAAATATATTTGCTTACGTTCTTAAAATTAAACCACAAGAAATTGTCTGTAATCCCACAGTATCGAAACTCTGTCGTTGCTTCCTTCATTGAAAATCCAATGTTTCGTGCGATTGTT